GATCCATTTTTTCCTGTAATTAACGTAAGATTGCTTTTGAGATTTCTTTGGACGATGTAATGACCTGTGGACTGGTGTGAAGTGTATACATAAATATATATTTTTGTTAGTGTTCCTGGCTAAAAGAAGTGTATTTTGGGCCCTGGTGAAAGTGGATATTATTCTTGAATAATACATACGTGATGATGAAGGCCAGAATGAAGGCTCAAGTTTCCAAAATAAAGGGAAAGAAAATCAAATCTGAAAGAAGTGGACGACAGAAAAGAAGGAAAGAATGGCAGAAAAAGTGTATATAATTTCGAGGAAAAACAATAAAGGAAACAGAAAATGGAAGAGAAAAGGGGAAACTCAAATTGTTATTCTACCCTTTCTCGTTATAAATGACACAATCTGACATTAGGCCTTTAAACGAAATCAGTTTAGATTTTTATAAAGAAAGGTTCCTCACATTTCAAAATCGAAATTCATAGCTTTAGACCATTTAAACAATTTTTTTCTGTTTTTCACTTCAGAACACGTAAACTTAATGTTCTTCCCTCTAGATCTAGATCATTCTTTTTAAGTTCTTTTCTAAATTATAAAAGAATATAACATTATCAATCTTAAAAAAAAAATCGTGTTCTTTACTTCTGAACATTTCAAGATTTGTTTTTTCTTTTGAACACTTCGATAAAAAAATAAAAAGTTCTTCAGTTCTCCAGATTTTTTTATAACGTGTTATTTGCTTCATAGTATTTCAAACAATTCTTTGCTCTAAAACTCATCAATAAAAAGAGTTTCCTCAGTTCTCCACTAAAGAGCATTTTCAAAACGTGTTCTTTACTTTAGACCGCTTAAAGAAATGAAATTATTTCCTGTAGAACACTTGAAAAAAAAGAACTATTTTTTTTAGTTCTCGGAAAAGAACTTGGAAAAAAAAACGTATTCTCTACTTCAGACCATTTTTTAAAAATTGAAAATCTTTGCTCTAGAACACTTCAATATGAAAAAAAAACTAAAAAGTTCTTCATTCCTCTACTAAAAGAACACTTAAAAGAAAGTTCTTCACTTGGCCTCAGCTGACTGGTGGGAGGAGGGGGTGGTGCTCTCCCCCCCCCTTAATAAAACCCTTGTGTCAAACTGTACCGTGATCAATTTAGATATCATTATAATTTTAGTTTCATAGATTCTTCTTTTATTGTCCCTCTTATTATTAACATGGAGTAAAAAAAAATGCCCATGTCAAAATATATGTTCATAGGCAAAGGTACAACAGTTCTTTGCAAAATACACTGTGAACAAACATTTATCTATATATCACATACCATGAACGTAAATGTTTACATAAATGATTTTTTTTTATCATTTTTATGCATTTTAACAGTAAACAAAGGAATACATAGTGTCCTAATTGAGACATTAATGACATTTGGGTACATTTTTGTATGACATTTTAATTTTTTTATGAAAAAAGGTATATAATAGGCACTGACATCCGTTAGAATGAAACCTATATAAATATTTATAAAATACAAGTAACATTATTAAACAATATTGTACATGTTTCCGCTATCACAGAGAGCTATACGCCTTTTCTACATATATATATACAACAAAAAATCGTATTATACTGTTCCATATTTTCTTTCATATATTTTTGGCACGGCTTTCAGAGTTCTTGATAACGTTTTTTTTCTTCTTCCTCTTCTTCTTCCTTTAGTCTCCTCCTTCATTTTCTGCACTTCCTTTCGTTCATATTTTCTTCAATTCCTTCATTTTTCTTTTCTTTTCTTTTTTTTTGTCTCTTCAAAATTATCGTCTCTATTTCCTTTCGAACTATATAATGCCCCTTAAAGTTATCAATTACCTCTTTCCAACACAACTGTCTCCTACTGTTTCCTTTACTTCTTAAATACATTTATCGGTCTATGCTTATTCTCTTGTCTATTTATTTATTTTTTTCAATCACTAAAGGATGGCCAATTTCTTCCTTCGCAAACATCACTCTTTTCAGTTGCATCTTTTCAGTCCTGCAAATTATTATCAAGAAAATAATAATAATTTGTTCTCTTCGTCAACAGACCGGCCAATTCATGCTTCCGTCATTGAAAATAATTTTGATAAATATAATAATAATAATAATGATAATAACAATAATAATAATAATAATAATAATAATAATAATGATGATAATAATAATAATAATAATAATGATAATGATAATAATGATAATAATTGATAATAATAATGATAATAATAATAATAATAATGGTAATGAAAATAATAATAATAATAATAATATTAGTGATAATAATAATAATAATAGTATTAATGATAACAATATCAATGATATTATCAGTGATGATAATACTAATCATATTGATGATATTATCAATAATAATAACAATAAAACAACAATCATAACAACAATCCCTAATCCCTCTGGCGTCACCTCGTCGTCTTGACAACGCAAAAATAAAGTTCTTATTTTAACGTATGTTCTTCTCAAGCGTCGCCAGAATAACGCAATGACGTAATTCCTTCTTTCGTGACTTTTACGTTCTTCTCTGACGTTCATCAGACTTACGTTCTTCACTGACGTTCATCAGACTCACGTTCTTCACTGACGTTCATCAGACTTACGTTCTTCACTGACGTTCATCAGACTTACGTTCTTCACTGACGTTCATCAGACTTACGTTCTTCACTGACGTTCATCAGACTTACGTTCTTCGCTGACGTTTTTCTCCTGCGTCGCCAAAATAGTTCCTAAGACGTTGCGTCATTACCTCAAGCAGCATCTGCAAGCTAACTAACTCCAGCACGGCATTTTTCCTTGATGGGCCTCGAGATTAACGAGATTAAAATATGACGTTCCACTTCTCGTTGCCAGGAAACGGATCCAAACACGACGTTTTTCTTCCCGCGTCGTCAGTCCAACTCAAGAACACGACGTATATACGACGTCCCTTTTCCAGCTATACTAATCCAACTCAAAAAAAATATATATATATGACGTTCTTTTCCATCCTCGTCACATAAAACGAACAAAAAATAGAACACGCCATCCACCTTCCTCGTCAACCCCCCAAAAATAAATCAAGAAATAAATAAAATAAAAAAATAACTAAATAAAACACGACGTTCCTCTTTTTTTTCTCTCACGCGTCAACCAAAACCAAAACTCGACGTTTCCTTTTTTTTCTCTCTTCTCTCTCTCTCTCCCTCGTCACCAAGCCAACGCGAACACCACATTCCTCTTCCGCGTCTCTTCCTTCGTCGGGAAGCCGGGCACAGACAGAGAGCGCTGGGGCATGTCGACGCAGTAGTGGTAACTCAGCCACGCCGTCGTCCGGTCTAAGGAGGTGCCGTTATAGAGGGCGTTGGGGAAATCGCGCCGCTGGACGTCCCCTACGGTGCCTTCAATGGCGCTGAACATGTCGTCGCACTCGCTCTTGAAGACGGTCGAGGCCACGCTGTGAGGGGGGAGGAGGGAGATTAATGAGTGGAGGTTGAGTGGGTGGATGGATTAAGTTGATTGAGCGGGTGGATAGAATTGACTGAGTGGGTGGATAAAATTAACAGAGTGGGTGGATAGAATTGATTGAACGGGTAAATAGAATTGTTGGACTGGATAGATGAGGCTGGTTGGTTCAGATAAACAAAGTAATTAATTAAACAATGAAAAAAAGACCCAACCAAAAATATCGTAAATAACTTATTTTCCATATTAGCTGTTTGCTATCAATAATTGGATTTGGCAGAAATTTGCTGCTGAAAAGTTGTAGGAATTTACGTGAGGCGAATATCCCCCCAAAAATATATATATAAATAAAAATATTTGCTTGTCTGATGAAAATTCTGAACGGGATTTGGGTAAATGAACTTCCATTTCGTTGTCAGACATTGAAGATTTGTTTTTAAATATATTTATTCTAATTCGATACCTAAATCTTTGAAAGATATATATAATCATTTATGGACGTAATATCTGAAACCTAACAGAAAAATAGAAAGATGTCGAGATATAAAGAGTATATTTATAAATAAATTAAAATATGATATCGATATATGAAAAACATGCAAGATATAATCAAAGCAATAATACTCACTATCAATAAAGATAACACACACACACACACACATATATATATATATATATATATATATATATATATATATATATATATATATATATATATATATATATATATATATATATATATACATCCACCCACTCTCCCTCAGAAATAAAAGTATAATAATAACAACAATCATACAGCAACAAAACAAACACACAAAACCGACAACAAGAACATTAGCAACAATAATAATAACAATCATAAAATACTAATCGAACTATGCTTAGCCTTAATAACAACAACAATATATATAAATCTTATTAAAAAGCCATAATAACAAGCAAAACAAATAAAATACTACAAAATACAATAACAAAAGATGAGTCAACGACACAGACAAACATATAAACAAAAACATGATAACAAGAACAAGAGACTATCATAATAACAAAGACAAAGACAAAGAATAACAACAAAAACAATAAAAAAACTAATAATACAATAGAAAGAAATTTTCAATATTTATTACGAATCTTTTGCATTCGATCTCGCTCTCTGTCACAAGAATTATTCAACCAAACAAACAAACAAAAACAAAATACAACTAAGCAGTAACAACAAAAATAATATCAAATTTAGCTATATAATAATAATTCTCCATGGTAAAATCGACAGTAAAGATAAGAAAAAAATAGAAAAAAACAAATCGACAAAAAAGGATAACAAAAATTGTAAAAACCACAATAAAGATAATAAATAAATATATATATATAACCATATGAGACACACAGATAATTAATGAAAAGAGAACAACATACATAATAAAAACAAATAAAAATATACAAGCATTACCAACACTCGACTTCGCTCTCGACAGCAAAACAAATAAATAAATAAAGAAAGATATAAAATAGGAAAATAAAATAAAATGTACAGTTAATGACAACAAGAACATGCATTTAAAAAAATAAATAAATAAAATTCTACCCTATCCCCACAAACAATAATAAATAAAACAAAGAAAGATATAAACAAAAACACTGAATTAATGTCAACAAACAAACATCAACAAAGAAACTAACAACAACAAATAAAATTCGACTACGAGTCCCCAACCCTCGACACTCGCAATAGAATCTCAAACAAAAAAAAACAAAGAAAAAAAGAAAGGAAAAAGCAGTAGATGATAACAAAAACAGGAACAAAAAATTAACAAATAAAATTCTCCCCAAACTAATGACTTTCGACACTTGACCTCGACATAAAATAACAAATAAACAAAAAAATAAACACACCAATAAAGAAATATAGAAATAAATCTTATTGATTACCAAAAACCTTAACGATAACAAGAAAAACTTTACAAAAAAAAACACAACTAAATCTCACAACAAGAACACTAACAAAAATTCAACAAATGACAATAAACAAACAAACAAATAAATAAAAACAACAAAAAAACATTAATGATAACAGGAAACACTAACAAAAAAACAACAAATAACAATATCCAAACAAACAAACAAATAAAAACATAACAAAAAAAAATTAACGATAAAAAGAAAACCCTTACAAAAAAAACACAACAACTAAATCTTACAACAAGAACACTAACAAAATTCAAAACAAATAACAAAAAGACAAACAAACATTAAATAAAAAACACAACAACTCAACCTCACAACCAGAACACTAGCAAAAAAAATAAACAAATAACAAACAAACAAAAAATCAAACAAAAAAACAACAACACTTAAACCTCACCTCCGACACTCGAAACAAATAAATAAAAACATTACAAAAAAAAACTTTAACGATAACAAAAAAAATCTTACAACAACAACAACAACAACTAAACCTCACCTTCGACACTCGACCTCACTCTCCATCGCGATACTCCGACACTCGACGCTGGCCTCCTCGATGACGCTCTTGAGGTCGGCCTCCAAGTCGTCGTCGATCGTCCTGCAGGAGAGAGAACGCGCCCTTGGACGGGACACTGGTGGGGGGGAAGGGGGGGAAGGAGAGAGGAAGGAGATAGGGGGAGAGGAGAGGAAGGAGAAGGGGGAAGGAGGGGAGGAGAGGAGAAGGAGAAGGGGGAGGGGGAAGGGGAGAGGGAGAGAAGGAGAGGGGGAAGGAATGGAAGGAGATAGGGAAGGGGGGGGGAGAGGGGGAAGGGGGGAGGAGAGGAGAGGGGGAAGGGGGGAGGAGAGGAAGGAATGGAGAGGGGGAGAGGGGGGAAGGAATGGAGAGGAAGGAGATAGTGAAGGGGGGGGAAGGAAAGGGGAAGAAGAAGGGGGAAGGAGGGGGGGAAGGGGAGGAGGAAGAAGATAGGGAAGGGGGAAGGGAAGGAGAGAGGGAAGGAGAGGAAGGAATGGAGATAGGGAATGGGGGGAAGGAATGGAGAGGGGGGAAGGAGAGGAAGGAATGGAGAGGGGGTAGGGGGAAAGAGAGGGGGGAGGGGGAAAGGAAAGGGGGGAGCGGGGAAGGGGGGGAAGGGGGGGAAGAAGAGAGAGAAGGGGGGTAGGAGAGGTGGAGCGGGGAGAGAAGAAGAGAGGAATAGAGAAGGGGAAGAGAGGAAAAGGAGGATGGGGGGCGGTAGGAGGGTGAGGGAGAGGAAGGAGAGTGAGAGCGACGGGGGGGGGGGAAGGATAGTCGGGGAGGGGGAGGAGAGGGGATGAGAGAAAGAGAAAAGAAAAAGGACGAAAGGAAGGAAGGAAAGGAGGGAGGAAGAAGGAGAAAGGTGAGAGGATTGAGGAACGAAGGATGGAAGGAGGGAGAGGAGGAAGACGGATGGAAAAAAAAGGGGGGGGGGAAATGGAGGGGGAGGAGATAGAGGAATAAAGAGAAGGGAGAGATGATAAAGGGTAAGTGGAAAGAGACGTAAAGAGATGGAAGGGAGAAGGAAAGAAGGGTGGAAGGGAAGGGAGGTGAAGGGAGGAAAAGATAAAACAACAGAGAAAGGGAAACGGGGAGAGCGAGAGGAATGGGTAGGGAGAGGAAGGAGGAAGAGAAGGAAAGGGAGAAGGGGAGAGGGAAGTGAATTAGGAAAAGGGAATGAGAGAAAGTGAGAGAGAGCAATGAAAGAGTGAGAAGAGAGAGAAGAGAGAAGAGGAAAAGAGTGAGAAGAGATGGAAGGGGGAAGAGGGAAAAGGGAAATATACGGAGATGGGATATAGGAAAATGAGAATAGGAGAGAAGAGAAGGAGAAGGAGAAAGGAGGAAAGAAGAAGTGGAGGAAGAGTCGGAGAAGAATAAAAGGAAGATGGAGAGAGAAGATGACGTCGGGGGAAGGAGAGTAGGTGGAGGGGAAGAGAGGAAAAAGAAAGAGAATGAGGAAAAGGGGAGAGGAAGGAGGATGCAGGGAAAAGGGAAGAGGGAGGCAGGAGACCGGGATAGAGAAAAGGGGAAACGAGGAAAAAAGAGAGAAAAGAAGGAC